CACTGATGAAAGATAAATTTTATATCTTAAAGGTAAAGAATTTTTCAAGAAAAAAAACGATACAATTAATTATTTGATAAATTATTTGGATTTCAGTCACTAAATTTCAATTAAATAAAATTCTATTTCACCCATTTTTCATCCTCATTATTCTATACATTTGAAATCATAATACTTATTGGACAACTCAACGCGATTAAAACACATAATTCATCATTTAGCACTGAATTGAATTTTAATTTTTCAATTTATATTAATATGCATTCTTTGTTATCAAATTTTTTTACTGCACCATGTTTAATTTAAAGTTTAACCTCGTCACTTTATTCAGATTCTTAATTCATACCACAATTAATCCTACCATTACTTTTTCTCATTATTAACAAAATAAATTTTGACAAATATACATTCCCATATATCTTTATATCCTTTGACCTTGAATAAAAGGAGATTTTCATGTTCCACATATGCTGAATGGCATATGTGATGATAATTGTAAATAATTAATCACTTACATGGCGCCAGTTTTGTATTTTTTTTCTCTCTTCAATTTCCTTTTCTTTCAATTGTTCGAGAAATAAGGATAAAGCTCGTAACATTAACCGATAAATGTATATAAAACTTATAATACCGGAAAAAAGTGACCTTTTGATGGCCATCTTTTCCGGTACATGTGGTCTCTCTATCGGCGTCTCTTTTGGTAATTCCTTTGCAACTCCTTTTGTTTTCTTTCTTTTTTTTTTTCACTTTTTTTTTACTTTTAACTTTCGAATAAACAATTTGCAACCGAGAAATCATACAACTGCAAAATTCATTTGAAATGAATTTGCCTCAAAAAGACAATTTTTTTTCTGCTTTTTAAAGGCTATATTAATTTAATTTTATTGCTGCAACAATCAAATACATCTTAACTTACTTATCATATCTAATCAGAATTGAGAGAATAATTTAGGTTAATTGGTGCTAGCAAAAAAAAAAAAGAGTGGATGATTCTCGTAAATTATACTGTTGTAAAATTGAGAATAAATTTAATGAAATTTCAAGTGATCATCATAAACTTCATTAGTTCTTTCAATATTTCGAGAATGCAACTAAAAATTTATAAATAGCATCTCTTTTTTGTGTGATAATTAATCAATCAAGAATAATTTCAGTAAATGGTGAATGGGCAGAGTGGTCTGCATGGAATGGTAATTGTAAAGTTGATTGTGCACAATTAAAACAAGAAATAACAAAGAGACGTTCCAGTATCGTGCATAGAAAACTTGATGATATTTGGCCAAAATTGGTACGCAGGAGAACGTGTAATAATCCTGCACCACTGAACGGTGGATCGGATTGTTTAGGTGATCCAGAACAAACCAGTGAATGTCCATTGAACTGTCATTTAGATGGTTATTGGTTCGTTTTTTAAAAATTTAAAAAGAGGAAAAAAATGTTAGTGGGAAAGTTTAGATAGTGTTAGATCCTTATCATCTTGTAAGAAAGAAATATATGTTAAAGAGATGAATTTGACTTGAATATATATTTGACTTTAAGTTTTATTTTTTTTTTAAAAAAAATAATAACAATAATGAACTGATGCAATTTTTTTTTTGAAGCAAAATGATATATGTAATTTTTATAGGTCAGAATGGTCATCATGGTCACAATGTAATGAAAATTGCCAAAAATTTCGTACTCGTTCATGTAATTCACCTCGACCAACTAGCGGTGGACAACTATGTAGTGGTCGTGATTTGGATACCAGGAATTGTACCCAAGGAGAAGGTTATTGTACAGCAGCAATACAACGATCATCACCAACTTATATTGGATATAGCCTAGAGGCACAACTTGCAATGTATGCTGGCCTATTCAGTGTACTCATCCTATTACTTATCATCCTTATTTTGATAACTATATTGCTATATCGTTGTCGACGAAGATGTAACAGTGCTAAAAAGGATGGCTTTTATTTCGCTGAGAACAGTGGCTAGTTTTTTTTTCTATTAATTAATTCTTGTTTAGCATTGATTTTTGTTAAATGATTAATAGTTACCTTTCATATTTTAATTATTGATGATAGATTGTTGAGAAGATTGAATCATTTGCATATTACGATTAATTTTTAAATATTGAATAATTATTTACTTTGAATAGAAATTTGAAAATATAAATTATAGGACATGTACGTACCGTATTATTGCAACAACAACAACGATTACTTGGTGATCCAAATGATTCACTTAAATCAATAACAAAAGGTGGCAGTGAATTTTACACATTAACAACGACTGCTTCACCAACTCATCCTCTTGTAAGACCGCCATCGTTAACGCTTCGCTCAGCTAATAGTAGTGGTTATTCGTCGACAAGAAAAATTACAGGTTTGAAAAAAATCGGACTGGATCAAAGATTGTTTATTTTTTATTCTTTCAATGAAGTTGAAGATAAAATTTTAAGGAAAAAATTTTTCTTCTTATTTTTGAAGAAGATCCATCAATTTTAAATTTGAAGGATCACGTGTGGCATTAATTACGGAATCATCATCAAATTCATCGAATGGTAAAATTACAATTGCACGAACAAATTCACGAACATCGGATGAAAATTATGCAACACTGTATGATTGTGTAGGTGATGTCAATGATCAATACGGGTCCTTTGAGCTCAACAAACAGCCTCATGTTGTTCTTCCTGCTTATGTTAATAGCATGGGTGGAAGATTATTGGTACCATTTTTCATAATAATTGAGTGTTTAGAATTTTTTCAATAGTTCATTTTAACATGAAATATTATTCATTTGATTAGCTTTATCACTATAAATAGTGCATTCATTTTCTATCTGGAATTTTTTCATATAGTCTCAAAAATAGGCCGTAGTTTGAAGTGAATTTTTTTTTTTTTTTGAAAATCAAAAATGACTCAAAAACAAAAGGTTCATCATGAGAAATCAATTCGCTAGCTATAAAAGATCTGCACGTATAATTGACCCAATTTATTACATAAAAAGAAACAACTGAATGAACTAGTAAGGATTTAAATTTTGAAAATTTAAGACAGTAAAGAAATGATTAATCTTTTTTAGCTTAAACGAAGTGGTGCTGCCCTGCTAATACCGGAGGGTACATTCCAGACGAACCATATGGTATTCCTTGCTATCTCCGATGATCTCAACGATTCACCTAAATTACTGGGTAACTCCTGTTCATGTATTCGTGCATAATTACTTGTTTAAAAAAACTAAAGCAAAACTGATTTGGAACAACTTTCAGAAGGTAGTACGGTGCTCAGTGGTGTGGTAATGATAGGCCTATGTGATGAGAATGAAAATGATGTCGTCATACACAGGCCATTTATCGTGACATTTAAACATTGCGCCAATATTTTTCCGAAAGATAACTGGATTTTCATGATTTATGCAAAAAGCAATCAAAGTAACAACTGGGAAATGGTTGCACAAATTGGTGATGAAGATATCAATACACCTCTCTATTGTCAAATGGATTTGACAAGGTGTCACTTACTTTAATGACAAATAATAACTATTACTCTGATCGGGAATGACCGCATAATTCCTATAATTGGTACAACTGATAAGAGTTTATTAATAACAGAAATTCAATCTTTTTTTAGTCACATTTCTTACAGGTGCCACATAATGATAGAGCGTTTCTGCAAGTTATTGTTAGTCGGTAAACCACGCCGACCAACATTAGCAACAATGAAACGAATGCATTTAGCTGCGTTCGGTCCCTTGCATCGTATTTCCAATGACACTTCTATTAGAGTGTACTGTGTACCAGAAACTGGGATCGCTATTCAGAATGTCATATGTCAAGAAGAAAATACTGGTGGTTTGCTGGCTGAATCCGAGAATTTTCTGATGCGTGAGAAGGGTGCTTTGTGTGTATGTCTTGAAGAAGTGTCAACAGGACTTGTAAAAAAGCCCGAGGCGCAATATCTGGTACGTTAATCACTGGATGTTACTGAGCTTCTTCATTGCATTTTAAAATTTCAAAAAAAAGCACAAATCCAAAGCTCTTAAAAAAATTTTTGTAAATATGTTACAGGAAATACCGTCTAGCCATCATTTATGGTGTGTGCAAAATGGTTTGCACTGCAGCCTGAAAACCGATGTTCCGGAAGATTTGTTAGAAACAATTACCGGTCGAATTGTTATCTACCAAAAGTGCAATGCCGATGCGAGAGAAGTGCTAAATTTCGATATGCAACAGCCAATCGTAAGTAACATTCCACTACTTCTAAATATAACTATGAAAAAGCCCCTGCAAAAAGTATGATCATTTGAATTCATTATTCTCATTCCCAAGACCAACTTATTAACTTAAAATTTATCTTCCGGTAATGTGCGGTCTTCTTCAGGAGGATGATGAAATGGAAGAAGATGGAGTACTTTCATGCGGTTTTTTATTGGATTATGCAACAAGACAAAAACTAGCGGAACTTTTCGATGTCCCTACCGATCCGACAAAGGACTGGAGAGGACTCGCTAAAAAATTAAATCTCCATAGGTATATACAGGTAATGACATATATTGTTTAACCTTTGTTTAAAAGGATAGAGGATTATCTCCACCAATTAACTTCAAAGATGTTCGAGTTATAGAAGTGCAACAAAATCGGAAGCGATTCTCAGATCAATATAGTGACCACTACTTCTAATATATCAGGCATTATACTACAAACTAATTCAATTTTCAATTTCCAGTACTGGAAAACACAATAACCCAAAATGTTTCAGTATTTTGCAACTCGACCTGGTCTTTCACCAACATCACTAATTCTGGACTTATGGGAAGCTGTGGAATTCGGTTCACAGAGGGCAGTATTAGATCTTCTGCAAACTGTCCGAATCATGGGTCGACCTGACGCTTTAACAGTGCTCGAAAGCTATCTTTCCAGTTCAAAAAATATGAACAAATGAAAGAGAGAGAACGAAATTTGTTTGCAAAAAGGGATTCATGTAAAGTACCATATCTCACTGAGAGGTCTCAATTAGATGATATATTACTCTATGCATTGAAGCAGTAAATTTTTTTGACAAATCATAGTAGAAAGAATTCTGGAAGACTCACTGAAATTTTGCATAAAGATCCCGGCTGTCAGAAGTATCAACCGAAATATAGCTAGTTCTTCATTATATTACATTGCAGTGAAACAGTGACCCAACATGTTTGAACATCTTTATCCAAGGAAATCGACAAAATTTATTACTTAGGTCATATACTTAAAAATTCTTCAGGTAGTGAGCTGCAAATATGGAAAGCTCACCGACAAAATTTATCAAATATGTGCATATATTTCGTCACGAATGACTTTTACCTAAACGCACATACCGTACACCGGTAAAAACAATTTAAATACATAACCAAAAGCAAAGTTATAGTGAACTAAAAGATGTTTAATATAAACTAAGGGAAAGCCTAACAATGAACTGCATGAACCAACGCAGCAGTTACACGCGGTTTCGAAACTCCTTCGCCAGCTTTCTAGCGTCGACTTGACCTTCATCCTGATAAAAAACTCGCATGATATTATTTATATTCTCCATTCAGAAAAAATCATCTATTTTAGCTAAACTTATCTAACAGCAGTTGAAAAAACAGTAAAAAATACCTGAATTTTATTTCTGACTTCTTGATCGACTACTTCGCCATTGCTATTTACTAGCCTTGCAGTGGGTATCGTTTCCACAGCATATTTCTGCAGGAATTCTCTGTAACAAAAACAGCTTGAAGATAAATTACTGCTATTTGTGCGTAATTTATGCACATATCATCCTAGCTAAGACATAAATTCCATTGGTTTAGTGCAACTATATGCACGCACAAAACAAAAGTGTCATAACAGGTATTACCGAAAAGGTGATCAAGTATCTCTTAATCAATAAAACAAGCAATTCTACACACTGTTAATGCGTACTGTTTATATCAGAACCTTTAAGTTCAATAGTAAAAAGTACGTAGAATAAAGTAAGTTAGACTTACGAAATATGTTTGTCACCAAATGGGATATATGGCACATTAGGGAGTGCTTTGTTATAATAATCTAACTGGTGTTTCGCCTCACGATCACGAGAAATCCAAACTATTTCAATATCCTCGTCTTTTGCCGCTTCATCGTACCATTTCTAGAAAATTCCAGATAATCAGAGAAATGAAATCCCAAAATATCTCTTTACAGTGACAAACAACGAAATAAATATATATCCGAGTTTGAAAACTACTGCAAATAAGCAGGAAAACGGAAAGAAGGCGGGACACTAAATCAAAGTAAGAAAGATTTACTTTTAATTTGGGAGTAAACAGACGGCAGTGACCACACCATCCTGATGAAAAATACAGTATAATGGCCTGAAATTTAATTAAAATTTCAAAGGAAGCAAAATATATAACGGATCAGGCTTATCGTGTCGCTCAAGCTACTCAATTTCCTTAAAGCTCCCTAGGTCACATTATACCATGCAAAATCCAATTGTTACTATCGCAACACGTAATTAGGATAAAATTTTATCAATATTTGAATTACAAACTTTATTTTTCAGATCATCCACTTTGACTGTTTCACCATCTCGCTTCGTCAAGGGAACATCTCTCAGGAATTCTGCACCCGCTGCATAACAACGACCAAAGTTAAGTCTTCCTATCTGAGCTAATAGCATTTTTGGTAAAAAAAATATTAACTCGCCCTAAAATTAAATGACAAACAGTAAAGAAATTATTCGTTCAACACTTATCTGCTTATCAAATAAGCTCGAACTGTAAAAATCGAATCAGTAAATACAAACCGCTTGTGTCACTGACAGCTATTCAATCTCATTCACGCTCACAACAAAAAGCATAGTCCCAGCAGGAATGAGATGTTAAAATACAAATTTTGTTCAGTCTAAGCTTCAGTCATTTAATGCATTTCCTCTGCGGGTGATCTCAATCTTATTCCACGCTAGAAACGGTGAACGTGAACTTTTTGAAGTCTTAATGTTCTTAACTATGTTTTAAAAGGCATCTCCTGAGAGTTTCACACTTATGATCTCAAAGAGTAAATATTATGATCAGAGTGGTGAGTGATAAGAGAGACAAGTTGATAAGTAATACTTTGGCGAACAAATGAGTGATGAGGGCATACATTTTTAAGGAAAAAATTTTTTTTCAACCGGTCATTCATTCTCCTTCACTTTTTTTCACTCCCACAGTTAGAAATAAAAAAAATATTAAAATGGATAATTTATCGAGTAGATGCTAGGAATATTATGAATGAAAGCGATTTATAAGTTTTCTTTTTCAGGCTATTGTTAAATTTTGAATATTTAATTTGAAATGCTTATCTCAAAAAAACGACGAAAACTGTTTCCATGTTTGATAAAACATTTTGATATCAGATAACCCATTTAATTATTAGGTCTGTTTTAATTATTCATGTTACAATGACAGATTTCTTCTCACTGACGCAAATATCTAACATCGAAATATTTTTAATACGAGAAAAAAAAAGTACTCATCATTTAGATATTGTGAATAACTCGGTTGTAGATATTTTACTGTTGCACAAAGCATTGTAATAACTCATATCGATAATTTATCACCCATAATTGATTACATTTTATAATCAATTACTAGAAAATATATTACTTTACATGTCCCTTTTGTATTTCATGAATAGCTCTCGAAATATCACCTATTTCACTAAACTATTTGACCCATTTTCCGTCTATTATAACATCTTTTGTTAGATTAGAAATACAATTTTCTTCTTGTAAGAAACTTATAAATATTCAAATAACTCCCTTTATTTAGCAAATTGTCACTTTCGCATCATCACAGTGAAGCATCAAATTTAAATTTCTCAAATGATTAATTCACTGAAACAACTAAGTATTCCGAACATTCAAAATAGCCATGTATCGTTACTAATGTAACCATAAAAATCAACAAGTATCATAATCAACTTATTGATAAAGGTCCACCACTTCACAATCTCAACAAGAGTCTCTCTCCCGTTGAGAATGTGAAGTGGTGAGCTTTTATCATTAATTCAACATTTAAATAAGGTAAACTTGCTAGCCACTATACGCAACCGATCAAGGTAACGTAGGGAAAACTGGCATTATTAGCCTGGGAGCCTTTGAGTCCATAATGTCTCTCAAAAATAAATATATTATTACGTATCCAACAGTAATTGGCTGCAGCCAGTAACTGACGAACACGGAATAGTTATTCTTAAAATCTGACTTGTTATAAACTTATGAATATTTTGTATCTCGTCCATTCATACCAGATAACCAAAATTAATTTGCTTAATAACAATGACATTTTTTTTTGCTACTTTTGCTAAGAAAAAAATAAAGAAGAAGACAGATGAAGTATGAAATATCGGTAGACTGAGGAAGACGAAAGCGGAATGAATCATAATTTAACGACAATAAATTGATCTATGCATTTAGCGAATTTATCATTCGGTATTAGTGAACAACAAATAACTGTATGTGGTAATTAATTCAACTCAATCTAATCTGACTGAATTGAAATTTGAATAATAAAGTAATGTGCCGGAATCAGTTAACAGAATCGACGAGATATACCAAATCAATTCATATGTAAAGTAGCATACTATCATTTTATACAAAATAATGTCGCGTTGAGAGCATGGAAAAAATTTTCAAAACCCTCTCAAAACCTTTATTTGATGTTCCGACGATGGTTCATCAAATGCAGTACACTCCAAAAATTTCCATAAATGCACAGTTAGGTTTTTATGGTGAATGTCGAGAATCGTGAAATTCATCATGGGATCAGATTTTCATATGCCGCCATCAAAGTTACGAAAGGCGAATATTGTGATACCGGCTGTCTGGTGAATCGGATTATATTTTTATGTGCGATAAAAGTACACGTAAAAATATATCGTTGTTGCATGATTCGTATCTCGCAACTCTAACTGCGCGATTTCGAAATTTCTAGGATAACGAACCAATGAATGATGAGCACATTGAAATAAAAGAATGTGTAATCGAGAAAAGTGATGCACGTATCGGTGATTCATTGTCTCGGAAAGCTTTATTGAAACGTCAGACAACATTAGATGCTTTTTTCTCCAATGAACTAGATCGGAAGGTATTTATCAGTGATAAACTGATTCATAAAAAGGCCAAGAATAATCGGATGTCAATAACGACTACCCATTCAGGTAGACGGTTATATCATCGACGCTACAGTTAATAGAAGCAATCGGGAGTTCAAGCTACATCAAAAATATCTTCCAATAGTTTAAAATTATACTAGACATCTGTTTATAACGCTCATAGGATATGCTGCACTTAATTGAATGAATTATGCTGACTGGATAAAATTCACTGTCATAATGATTAATAACTTAATAGATTAATGATTGAGTGATACATTCCAGTTATTTCAAAAAATAAATTGAAATCGAGGAAATCTTTTGGATCCGCTGTTGAAGAAGTCGAACACGGTGGCGATGGAGAACGACGTCGCAATGACTGGATGAAAATGGGTGACGTTATGAAAAAAGTAGGTGCTTTTTGCTATTAGTACGTGAAGTGTCGTTTTTAGTTTTTTTTTTTGGATCCTCATTAAATTTGTTTCTAAATTATATTGTATTTTCACTCTCATATATATATATTTTTTTTTGTTATCTAATCAAGAAAATTTGAAGAGCGATTTATTATTTTGCAAAATATTGCGTTTTTCTGAATTCAAACTTTTACAAAACTCAGGAAGTATTTTTTTTTGCAGGCAAAGATGAAAGCTGAGAGGATCACTCTGGATAAATATGTTGAAGTTGATCAGCATTCTATGCATTGCTCTTCAAGTAAAAAAGTAATGAAGATATAATATACGTTTATATATACATATGTAAAATATGTTTGCATATCGTTAACTGTACGACGAGTGCAGATATCCGATTGTGAAAAAAATATTGCAGTCAGCTATCGAACTGATACGCAATTACGAGGATATGTATCCAGATTTGAACAGCAGAAGTGCTTCCGATGTGGTATTGATATCTTTAAATTCGATATCTTCTGGAACTTCACCAAAACCATATCCCATCGTTTGCGCTGACCGAACATATGGATGGAATTTTGGGAAAAAGTATGCTCTGTTTAGTTGAGGATGAAATATTAACTGTAACTTCTGGTACTTTGAGTCAATATTTACAAATTTGTCATTTATTCGATTTCAGATACGTTCGTTTGCCATACTCTATATGTAATGTGATTGGTGGAACTGCACGATATAACACTATACAAATTGCAATTTCAAAACTTCTGCAGCCGCTTAAAACTTATAAACAAATTGAGGTTCAGCTACAAGTTTGTTTTCCCATGTCTATGTTTGGACAACAGTGGTCGTTTAACCATTGATTTTTTTTTCAACAGGAATGTATCAGAAGCTACTCACATACTAGAAGTTTCGATGCACTTGAACAATTTTTCGAAGCAGTTTTGAATGAAACATTACGTATGGAATATCTCACCGCCGTAGTACCTTTCATGGCGAAATTGGCTTTGCAGAGTCCAAATCTGATAACTCAAGTAATTCATTTAAGTAGACTACAATGGTTTTATGAAAGTTGTATTAGTTTCAAATTTTGTAGTATTCTAACATTTTAATATGTTGTGTTATACGTTCTACATTACTAGAAAATTTCTATTAATCCTTGCAATAAGGATAAAGCAATCAGCACATCTTCATTTTACTTTCAACAACTGAAGTTTTGTATTTTTCACAACAACGCAGGTCATTTAACACAGAAAAAATCATAAAAAGTAATTGATGAAGGAGGCATAGGAATTAAGTAAATCTTGTAGACATGTTTTATAGTTTGTGTGATAGCTTTTCCGTTCCAGCCAATACCAATATTGCGGCGTGGAAGTTCCGGATCGGTAACGATAAGCCAGCAACAAACAGCGTCACTACTTGCACACGCATTTTTCTGCACTTTTCCAAGCCGTAATATTGTCAGCAACGATTTGCCGTCAGTTAATTTCTGCCGTTTATTCAGTTTACGTTCTCCAAATGCGATAGAAAAATTACGATGTCTAATGCACTACTTTCATATGATCTCCAAGAAAAGTAGTTATATTTTCCTCATTTTTCATAAAATATTGCGTTTGAAGTTGAAAGAAGTTACAAGTTCATGCATAAATGCAGAAATGAACTATGCATAAGTTATTTGCAGTGCCGACAGGACTGTTGACAATTCGTCGGCAGAATGACTCAGCAAAAGAATGGTCTTCCATGCATTTGCCCTTATCAAAGCTTTATGTTAGTCATACAGGTACAATAGAAGACGATGGTCATGGCATGTTGCAAGTGGATTTTGCCAATAAATATATTGGAGGAGGGGTATTGAGCAATGGCTGTGTTCAAGTAAGTTATAGAAAAATGATTCAATATTAGAAAATATTTTGTTCATTTTAAGGTAACTCATTGAAAATATCGTTTTACAGGAAGAAATTAGATTTCTCATCTGCCCAGAAATGATTGTGTCGATGATTCTATGCGAACGGATGCATCATAATGAAGCTATTGTTATTTGTGGTGCAGAAAGGTTTTCTGATTATAGCGGTTATGGTTCATCGTTTTGTTGGCGTCCAATGGTAAAGGCAGATTCATTTCCGAGGTTCTTTTTTTTGTTAAATTTTATCAAGGTTTTTTCTTTAATCTTACATTATTTAGTGGTTTAAAAATTCGTAAAAAATTTTTGTAAACTTTGCTATGGCATCCTAACAATGAGAGAATTTGACGATGAACTATGTGAACTTTGGAGGAGTTAGAAATAATAGTTACAAACGCTCCTTTGAAAGGAGATTCCTTTTAATTAATGATGAGATGTTTTTGATTCACGTGCCGCACAAATCTTTTTTCAGAGATCGCTTCAATAGGTTGTGTTGTGAATTGGTCGCAATTGATGCTTTGCCATTTTCTAATAAACATGAACAATTTAATATCGAGTTGGTAGATCGCGAATTGCTTAAGGTATAAGCATTAAATTATATAGATGATTTCTTTTCTTCCTAATTTTTGTAAAGATCGATAAAAATGAGATTTTTAGGCTTACGTCGGCTTTGCTGTAAATGATGAGACGATGAAGCCGGTTGCTACTGGTAATTGGGGCTGTGGCGTATACGGAGGTGACTTGCACTTAAAAAGTAATTTTTTGTTAATCCTGCAACTAATATTTTTGTTAATGCTACGTGACATTTGGTGGACTTCTAATCAGCTTAATGAATATTTAGGTTTGATACAACTTATGGCATCATCTGCACAGAAAAGATGTCTTTGTTACTTCACATTCGGAGATCAGAAGTTTGCAGAAGACTTCACTGAAATTTACAAGTTACTCGTGCAAGCTGATACTACAGTTGGTATGTTTCACTGAAAATTGTCATGGAAAATCGCCAGAATACATTTAATTATTTAGGCATTTGTTTTCTTTGGTGGTGCATCACATTTTGCCATGCATGTCGCTTTTTAAAAGCCATTTTTAATTTTTAAATCACTTATTCGTTTTAACTTGCTATCAGTTGGGTCTTCGGACCACTAAAATTTGTGTTTGGATCTTCTGGGATTATTTTGTGCCGAACCTCAACACTCCCAGATTATTGCTACTTGCTCGCTGCAGCAAGGTGAGAAAGCTGTGTTATGGCAAACCGTAGAATAACATAAACAAAATTGCTGAAATAGAGTTTTGCAGGACAGCTGTACAATATGATAAATGGTTACTGCTCTGAATATGACAAGAATAGTTCTCCAATGCTGTTTGAATACATTTCTCGAAAAATTAAACGGAATAAAGTGCACCCATAACAGTCTTATTCGACACTTGCGAAGTACACGCTTATCTCGGATGTCACGCACTTTAATATCCAATTATACATTAAGGAATATATGTTACTTATGACCACGTGGTGTAATTGTCAGTGTGATCAGATACATACTATTGTTTTTGAACGTTGCTGAAATGACAGTAGTGCTTTCCAATCCCTCATGGATCAATAACCCCTTGTAACATCACTATATTCTGGAAAATGAGAAACATACCCATCTTTCTACGTTTTTTAAAACAGCCATCAGCAACTGATTCCATTAAAAGTCACGTTTTATTATCAAGATTTCACTTTTACGAAGATGTAGGCAAATATTTCGCACACACTAAATTTTTATTAATTTACTGATTTTAAAGAAAAATCTGCATACATCACATAAAATATAAAGAAATTAATTGCACATGGATGTCTCGCTAGTGATAATTCCTGACTCTTTTGAGAAATTAGAAACTTATCGGTATGAAATGAAACTACTGTCCAAATTCTATTCTTTAAAGCAGCCACCAGCAGCTGACTTCATTAAAGGTCATGTTTCATTACTAAGGTTCCAGCATATGAAATATTTTTTTCTACACCTCTAAGCTGGATTAAAGTAGGAATACTGGAAAGCCGGAAAAGTAGTAGACTTGTATAATAATTTAATCTGTAATATTCCTCAGTGTTTCTTCAATTTTCAGTTTCTCCGTAATGTCTACAGAGATAAAGTTCAGCTATATGCAAAACATCCTGTTTAAAATTATCCTACGATACGGAAACTACTATAGTCAATTGACAAATATTTTCAAATGTCATTTTTTTTCAAAAATGATCACTTGAGTTCAAGTATAGTCAAAATACAACAATAAAAATAAATCAGAGTTTGACCAGTAATCGCACTACCCAAAAAAAATTCAAACGATGGTTTCAGTTTAGATTCATCATCCACCTATGAATTCATCGAGATCAGCTTTCCGAACATGCAGAGTATCTGCCAAAAGACTTTTCAGCTCGACGTAGTGAGTATATTTATTACCCGTTGCTGCTGATGCTGATGGCTTTCGACCAGCATACTTAAGCAGTCGTCCTTGTCTGAAATCTCCAAAATTCATATGAAGGAACGATACCGCAGAGCAATTTGGGAAAAAATAGTGTTTGTTTAAAATTCACTATTTCCGAGATGAAAAAGCCGTTATGTGAGCAGAAATACTTAGCATTCATTACTTCCCAAAAGTCCAAAAGAATTGACGAACTTTGCTACAAGTGTTGCAAATCTCGGATGAACGAATCCCCATGCACCCATATTTTTGTGTTCTTCTTGCGCCCAAACAAGTTCTGCTTTGCTATACTTAAGGCATTCTTTCTCAATTAAATCGTATGGAAAGGGAGAGATTTGTTCAACACGACATATCGCTATCCGTGAGTCTAAATTCAGGTATTTCCTTGCAGAAACCAACTCGTAGTAAACTTTGCCTGAAATATAAGAAACAATGATGCACAGCTTTAGTAAACCACATTAGGTCAAGTAGTGAAAGCTTTTAAAAGAAGAAAAAAAAACGGAGACAAAATGAAATAAAACTAAACCGGTGCAGAAAACTAAGCGCTCCACATTGTCAGCATTTTCACTAGCACTTCCGTTTTCTGGAATAACTCTGCAGAATTTAGTGCCAGGCAGAAAATCCTCAATGGGAGAACGTGCTGATGGATGACGAAGAAGCGATTTCGGTGACATAATGATCAGTGGTTTCCTATAAAAAGTTCATGCAAGTCGCTTCAGAATGTACTACAGAATAATATCACAAATTCAAAGAACGATACCTGAAAGGTAACGCTATTTGTCGTCTCAAAAGATGACAAAAATTGGAAGGTGTTGTGCAATTAACGACAATCCAGTTTGTATCATACAATTGTTGTGCTTCAAAAGTAGGCCCAAAGGCGGTATGCTGAAATCAAGATTATCTGCTCTACTCAATTATTGTTTCGCAACATCTTTCTTTCCTCTAACATGCTTAATGATTTTGCTATAAAAGTGTACCTCAACATCAATTTCATCATTTTCATTAGACATTTGCAGAAAGCGTTCTAAACGTGCACTGCTGTGTTCAGGACCCATTCCTTCATAGCCATGTGGCAATGACATCACTAATCCAGACTGTCGAATCCACTTTGACTGACCTTTAAATAAATAATGGCGAGTAATACAAATATTAGACTTTCAGATCCAATATTTCATATTTCAGAGGAAATAAACAAATGCAAGAATACCTGAAGATAAGAACTGATCAGTAATACACTGGGCATTATTTGAGAAATCGCCGAATTGCGCTTCCCATATAACCAATGAATTAGGATCCACCATTGAATAACCGAGTTCAAAACCGAGGATTGCGAATTCCGAAAGTGACGAGTTTGAAATGCTATATTCAGCTTGCTGAAATAAACAATAGATAACTGTATTGCAACTAAAAGTTTCAAGTTATGAAGGTTCCATAATTGATTCACGCCTTGATCTATGTATGTTGCACTAGTTTACTAGTTATGTTTTACCTATCAAGAGATTTTTTTAGTACAGTGAAGGAACTCAGCAAAATGAAACAACATATTAGACTCTACATAAGTTACAACTGACAACCATTTGTTAACGATGAAACTTTGCACTTGTTTTCATATCAGCGATAATACTATAAACAAAAGTAGAATCACATTATCGGAGAGATTGTCCAATGGATTATATGTTTTTTGATCGATTTGCTGATCATGCAACACGTGATGCCGGTGTGAAAATGTTCCTCTTTCCACATCTTGTCCTGATAACCGAACATGAATACCTGAAACTTCAAAGAATCAAAATCAGTGATACAAAGCTTGCAAGAGTTTTTCTGGGGAAAAAACACACATACCTTCGAGAAGAAGAGATCCAAAAGCAACGGCTTCTCCCATTGCCCAGTCAAAACTATTGTCTTGAAACATTTGACGTCGTCCTTTCAATATTCTGTCCAAACCCCGATGAAGATTAAAATCTGAATTTTCGATAGATTACAATCAGAAGTTAATTTTTTAAAAAAATCGTTTGATTCTGGTAACGAAATATAGCTCTACGAAGCACATAAGCCTAAAGCATAACTTCTTAATATGATACTTCAAAAGCATAAGATGGTATGTCGCAGTCGCACAACTTCGTGGTTTCAAAGCACTCTTATCTCTTCTTCTAATTTTTAATGAATGAATTGAGTGATAAGCACACTTGATTTACCTGTATGAAAATTTCTTGTTTTCAAAGTTAGTGAAAAAGCAAAGGTACCTGCTGGAACAGATGAAAACTTCTCGATGATATGGCTAATTGTTTCTTTTGCAATGCCAGTTGCTGGTATTTTGAGTGGGTCACGCTTTTTGAAGAAAGTATCCCACGGAGAATCGATCCAATCCCTGTGACGAAGAAACGCCACTTTTTGCGCCTCTTGGTAAGCATCCTCCAGTAAAGTATTGTATTTGGTTACTTCATCCTATAAAAATAAAGATTACCGGTCTACTCTTAAATGAATATATAAATAACGCACTGTTTGACCAGTGAATGGACTAACCAAATGGGATTAGTACGATGGTGTCCGACTTCTTATTACGCCTTAACAAATGATTACATGATTAAATATAAATATTCAGAATGACTGCTTCCTTTTTGATTTTGTAATAAGCACTAAATTTATACCTGTATATATTGCTCATTGACAACATTTTCAGCAAGAATTTGCTTCTGGTAAATTGCAAGCACTGGTTTTGTCTTTTTAATGCGCTGGTACATCAGTGGTTGGGTAAACATTGGCTCATCAAGTTCGTTATGTCCGTATCGTCGATAACACACCAAATCAATGATAACATCCTAAAATTGGCATATAGGCAATCTGTCCTGATATACGGTAGAAAAAAGACAGTGTGCTTATGCTTATGACAGTACAGCCGATTCAGTCCAACCAACCTTTTTGAAAGTTCGACGCCAATCAGCAGCTACATTACAGACATGCATCACTGCTTCTGGGTCATCACTGTTCACGTGGAATATTGGACATCCAACGACACGCCCAATATCAGTACAATAAGGAGATGATCGAGAACATCGTGGATCGGTTGTAAAGCCAATCTAAATCATTAATCCTCAAATTCTGAACTTGTATTGTAAAACAATTTTTGGTAGCAACAAAATACGATTTTTAAAAAATTTTATACTTTATCAATATGATTATTTAGAGAAAATATAACAATTCAGTATACTTGAAGAGAACATGCTACGATACTTACTTGATTATTAACGACTAAATGAATAGTTCCATGGGTGGTGTAAGCTTTTAAATCGTTAAGATTAAACGTTTCCATAACAACACCTTGTCCAGAAAATGCTGCATCACCATGCAATAAAATTGCCATTGTACGATCACCGTTTTCATCACCACTGTAAAATGATTCCGCTCGTACTTTTCCCAAAACTATGGGATCAACGGCTGAAATAATGGAATGTGAGCATCAATTGGTAATAGTGTTTGAAATTTCTATAAAAGTTGACAAAAAATTAATCGACTTCTACATAATGCATATGGAAGGACGTCTAGAACTATAAAGACTACTTCTTTTATTGTTTATAACTACCGTTCTCAAACAACAATAGCATTCCCACCTGACTTTTCGAGAGAACGTGGCAGAACTAAATTACAACCCATCCCCGCCACCATTCTCTCTAGGGGAAAGTCGTAAATTAACCTTCAAGATGAGATGGATTGGCAACAACAGCAATTTTGATTTTTCTTCCAGAAACTCGATTGAAGCGCTCCAAAGAAAGGCCAAGATGATATTTTACATCACCCGATCCTTCATCAGCCGGTTCCAGTGTAGAAAACTGTGAAAGAATCACTGACAAAGGTTGGCGACAAACATTTGCTAACATGTTTAATCGTCCCCTAAAAATCGTCTCGTCATGGATGAAGTTACACGTTTACATAAGAGCACCTTTCTTTTCCTTTCAAATTCAAAGATCCAAAAGTAAGCATCTAGCTTAAAGTCTAATCAAAGTTTCCATTTTAAAAATTAATATGAGAATATTACCGATGAGGCATCCCAATCACGATCGAATCAACACCAGCTGCACTAGATGCATCGATTACCTGTTTGGCAGCCGGTATTAGGACCTCGCAACCTTCAAGACCAAACCGTTTTTCGCTTGGCCACTATAATGTGATAGATTAATTTCGAAAGACAATCAGCTTAAAATCTCATCAAAACCTCAAAGAAAGTGTAAATGTTTCACGCAATAATTGACACCGACTGCCATTTCAGATTGGAAATGATCCTCATGGAATTAATCCTTTAGTTTTAGCGACTTCACGTCCCAACCAATGAATGTTGACATCTACTTAGGTAAGATGGTGCACTGCACAGATGGTGTATCATCATTATAATATCCCAGCTTAATTACATAAGACCCTAGTAATTCTACAGACATGTATGTGCGCAATGAGCTCCAATTTGAAAATGACTCACAAAAAGTATCATTTGAGTACCTTTTTCGCCAGAAATTCTTCAAATTTTGTCGATCGAATTAGTCGCTTGAATAATGTTTTCTTTTGCTCATGAGTAAGCTCCGATGCACTAGGCTTTTCAAATTTTCTACGAACCCATTCCAACTGCTCAAAATTAGTCAGGTGCATGTATTCAATTCCCGTACGTGAACAATAAATACTCTGAAACACAAACAATTTAAACTACAGAGAAATGTCAAATACTTCAAATAATTGGTACTGGCTACCGTTTTAAACAGCAAGAGAAGAAAATACCTTCAGACGACTAATTATATCTTTTAATTTTAGCGACTTTTTATCTCCACCAATAAATGTTGACATTGGTAAAAGGAATTCTTTGTCCATGTCAGCATCCGTGAGTCCATAAAATGCCGGGTCTAATTCTGCAGGTGTAACATTACTCAAGCCCACATTATTGATTCCCAATGGATCCAAATCTGCTATGTTGTGTCCGCGAGTCTAAAAATGGTAATAAAGGTTTTTGAAAGAAGTAAATTGAAATGCATGAATGTTGAAATTGGTAATTTGTGAATTTTAAAAATCACCTGGTAACTTCTAATCAAAAGCTGAACTTTGAGATGTTCATCTATAATCTGTCCTGATACACTTAATGTGTTTTCAAATTCACGTGCAGGTGCTACAGCAGATGAAACAGGATAAGAGGCTAGTCCTTTTGGAGGTGCTGAATATGCCTGTCCAGGTGGCAAGCCTAAAACAATTAATGTAAAACTAGCAACAATAATGTATAAAAAGAATCAGTCCTATACTATATAGTACTGTAGAATAAGTACACTTACTTCGCTCAACGTTCTGAAAATAAGCGTTCCATGAGGGATGAACCGATGCTGGACTTTGTCGCCATGCTTCATACATTTGCTCAATGTAAACTGTTGAAGTACCGTTCATAAATGGCTCCTCCTGTATATAAAAAAACTAACTGGTACGTATTTTTTAAAAATTTTATACGCAGTATCTATTTTTTAAAGATTTCCTAAATGCTTTCCGGTCACAATGGTTTTATAACTCTTCTACCTTACCTCATGCTATGGATTATTAGCTGATGCCCTGAAATCGCGCTCAGATAAATTCAAAAATTACATCATTTATCAAAAAACAATAGTTTACATCACTCAATAGTTTTTTAAAAAAGTACCAAACAAGGTAAACAAATTACTAGAATTTCAAAAAAAAAAATCTTTAATCCGGTAAAAAACTGTGAACTTACTTTGACAGTAGCAGCAGTAACTTTATGACGTCGTCCGGAAATAATACATTGTTGTCTCGTTAGGTTTCTAGACAATATAAAGCTGGAGCATTTTAAACGTCCTACTAATTTGAGTGATGCTTTGTTTCTCCAAAAAATCCTTTGTCGCAACATTGTTTCTTTTTTCTAACACTGCATCAAACCGACTACCGTCTTCAAAGTGATTCTGACAAATGAACAAAACGACCGTTATTATTCGCTTTATAACATAGTAATTAAAAACTGAAAGAAAAAATGACCACATGGTACATCATGTAAACATGGCAGACACTAAGAGGTTATGAAAAAAAAGAAACTAAGAGAGTTTAAAACTGACAATGTAACGACCATCCAATAAGAAAAAAATTGTTCTTCGATTACTGCCATCACAAATATTTCATCATTGAACACACACCAAAAATTTTGCCACTCGTATATATCACTACCTTTCACATCTTTTTCGGCAAACCAGAAAAAGTACCGCACTTCACTAACAAACTACATATCGTCTTGAAATCATCAATTCAAAATGAGCAACATATATATGAACACACATCAGAAATCAACACGTCAAAAGGAAAGAAAATTCCCATTAAATTACAGAGACCAAGCAATATTTTCTGCTCAGAAAGAATTTCAAAATTAAAGATTAATGATTACAATTAGAATGTAATTTCTTCTTTTCAAAATACCCCAGTTTAGGGCATTCTTATGCATGTCGAAGGCTATTCCCAAAACAAATAAAACATGCAACATGCATGTGGATCAACAAAACTTGCATATTTTAATAATCTAAAATACACCTTCCTTATTTAAATGTCCATAAAATTAATAAATATCTCTATTAGCATAATTTTACAAATAAAAACGCAACAGTCTATCAATGTTCGGTAACGATAGTGAGTGCTCATAATGTATACGCACAGTTTTGTGAGTAATCTGAAATAGATGCCATTTTTCAGATCAAGCTAACAGCTAAAAATCATTCTACTTTCAGTACTTTTTGCAAATTTCATTTATGTTAAATCTCTCATATCGTCTATTAGTAACCAGATAGCACAGCATGTCGAGATGCATCAAGTCAGACTTATGAAAATGTTGATATAGACAGATCAAATCAACATAAAACAAACGCATGTTAAAATGCATGTTTTTATATTATTTGATCAACTATTACTAACCATGGAAACATTGGAAATTTCCTGATATACCTAATCAGAAAAGAACCGTCTCCTTACACCTCAATTATGAAAATAACATTCGTACACCATCTCCTTCCATCCCACCCTATCTGAACACTCCAAACTTTCACCTCTTGTGAAAATACAACCGTTTCTGAGAATTTGTCGGCCGCGGCCGCACTTCAAGCGCTATTATTCGCATCTTCACGTTTTACTTTTTTCTTGCTGAAAGTCATGTAGTGCGTCAGGTGATGCTTTTAGCTATTGTTTAGCTTTTGCTGGATTTTGATCGAAATATTCTTTTGCCTCCTCCTTTCATTGCAACTTTTCATTATTGATATAGAAATTTTTAACACTGAATAGTTCCTGTATTTGTCAACTTTTAAAAGACACCTTCAAAATATGCATTTAAAAAAAAAAAACATTACCTTCTTTTTGTATTGATTTTATCACTGATTAATGAATTAAAAAAAATAACTTGATGGTTGGTTTTCTTGTGTTTTTTCCAATAATTGTCGGATGTGGTCGTTGTTAGGTACCTTTATCATATTACGATTTGTAAATTCTCCTTGAGGAACACATTACAGCACTATATCGTGGTCGGTAATTTAACTGATAAAGATTAACAATGATCCATCAGAGACTGGTATTGCAGTTAGTGTGTAGTAAATCATTGATAATCTATTCATTTCATCGTTTAATCAATTCACTAGAGTTTTTAATAATAATTAATGAACAAATATCAAATTAATTTCGGAATTCATCATTGGTTTAGAAATAGTTCAAAATTTTATTTTTTATTAATCATGAATTAAAAGAAGTGATTGTAAAGAGCATGTAAGGTAGAATTATTTGGTTTTGTTTTAGTGAATTAAGGTTTGTTTATTTTTTTAAAATACTTTTCCGCTATGTTCTCACGGAAATCTTCAAGTATTTGAACAACATATAAATCATGGAAAACAGGTGGCACATAGCTCTCTGATGAGGTCACATCCAAAGGGATTTCCATTTCGCTGAGCGGAGCGTCAAGAGACGTGAATTCATGAATGTTTCATTAAAGTGATATTTTGAAATTGTTTCTAAGCTGTAAATTTCATTTAATTTTCGCTTAGCGTAATTTTTGTGAAACATTTTTATCTTGCTTATGTGTATGTGCATGTGTTTATATGATGTGCGATATGTGTGGGTATGTTATATATATATA